GAGACAAATTTCTTCCTGACTTTAGACCTGACCTTCCTTTTCTTAGAGCATTTACTCTAGAAAACTTTATAAATTATTTCTCTACTTTTTTGAGATATAAATATTCTCCTAGCCTCTTGCCACTTTTATACCTCAGGAATAAACTTTCTCAAGGACTTGGGAGCTAGCACTTTGATCTAGAATCATCTGAAAAGACAGCACCCCTATCTGCTAGTCTTCTGTTGGGAGGATAGGAATCTATCTTTGATAAGTGCCAATCAGCAAACACAGATGGCCTAACTAAGCACATTGCCTAACCTCCCTCCTGATATCTAGTACTTTCCCACTAACTAATCTCAGCACTTAAAGGTTTTCCTGCCTTTTGTTTCAGCAGAATTGAGTTCAATCTCTCTCCTCTGTTGCAAAAGTTTTGAACACAGTCTTTCTTGCCTGTTGTCTAGTGCAATTTTGCTTTGACAACACTCACAGCAGTGTGAACGCATGCAGTGTTCAATGACTTTAATGATCAGTCACTACAATTGAGTCCTTTGGTAGTTTTCAACATGGATTTGACATTATGGACAATTATGTTCCTTATACTATAAGGAAGAACCAGCAGAGCCACATGTCATGTTCATTTATAAACCACACAAGGAAAGTGATTCTAGAGGGGAGGAAAAAAACCCCTCCCTGTGATTAAGATGAAGGCATTTCAGTCACTAAGCCTTAACATAAAATTATGTGCCCTACCACACCTCATATTTTAATAAAAAGTTTGGAAAGCAGTAGTCAGTCTTATGTCAGATAAATAGTATACCTCTAGCTCATTATTGAAGGCATTCATCAAAGATTAAAAACATAAGACCCTTTATAGAAATTCTAAACTGGTCCCGGGATCTTAGCATTCAATTATCATTTCTGAAATCTGAAATCAACATATTTTATGTCTAAACTGAGAGTATATCTGAAAATCAAAATTCAAAGGCATGCCTTCTAGTGGGCTGACTGATGGGAAAGGGCTGTGATTATGCCTAATTTTCACCCTCTACATCACGATCTCATTGATTATGTTTCTCAGCTTGCTAAGGGTTCTGTGAGGTGATTTTCAAGATGAATATTGCTATTTGCAGGATTTCCTGAATAGGAATATTTCGGGAGTAAATTGCACAAACCAAGCAATGTGCAGTCAATTTTCACTCCAGCATAAACAATGTATTAGAACACAGCCCTTAAAGCCTTTTTTATTTGGGTTTCATTACACAGCTAGCTGCATTTCATCAATAATCGTGAAGTACCAAGCAGACAAAACCGAGGTTCACAGAGGATATTACGTATTTTTCTAACAGGTGTGCTCAGAGTTTGACTAGAGAAAACAAACTACCCGAATGGCAAGGCCTCAGACCCTTTGTTTCCGAGGCAGCCATGGCCACCATGGCCAGACAAAGCAAGTTTCTTTACATTTAGGATTTGGAGCTAGGGGTGTGGCTGTTTGTAGATCTACTTTCTTTGCATTAACTCTTTCTTAAGATTTTATTAAAGGCAATTTTTTTTTTTCCTTGTGTTAAAAAAAAGAGCATGGGCTCAAAACTCCTCAAACATTTTATTTTTGGTGTTCAATAGTTTGAAACTAAGTAAAGCAAAGTCTAGTGTCCCATCTTTCTTTAATGGAAAAATAGTTTAATTCATTTAAACAGAGGAATACAGCAGGCTGTAAGGACTAATATCCCATATCTTAAATCAGAAAACCTGTGCAATCTTAATAAATCATTTATTAGTGACAAGGAATGGAAGCTAGACAAAGAGGGATAAAAAAACAAGGTAAATTATTATTCACACAGGTCACCATTTCCTAATTATAAGCTAGGGGTTTGAGAATTATTGGGAGAAACTCTCAAGTCATCAAATCTATGATTTCATGTTTCCCCTCCCCCTACCTTGGACACAGCCACAAGCAGAAGAAAAAGGCTAAAAGAGTATTTTTGAAATCTGCACTCCAGAGATAAAAATCTCGGAATATGCTCAAGGGACTGAAGCCAAGGAGTTTTCTGCCAGGAAAAAAGCAGCTCCCTCTCCCCTCAGTGATTTAAAACAAGCTGCAGGAGGCAAATATCATGACTCTCAGAAACTATACACAGCAGTGAGAGTGATGACTTGTAGCTTTGATAAAGAAAAGTGATTAACACAACCGAGCATGGCTTTCACTTCAAACTGCAGGGACCCATTTGGCAGAACCCTATGGGCCGTAGACAATTAAAGACCCAATGCGGGTTTTCAGTAGTTGAAAACCATTCTGGGGGGCACAGACTGGGACTAAAGTCATTTTGGTTGAGTCAACAGGATCTATTTGTACCAAGGGATTTAAAAAAATCTTTTCTTAAATGTATTCCAGGAAGAGAGATAGCTAGCATTGAGTATTTTTAAAATTATTATAATAAAGAGGCACATTTTAACCAAAGATTGCATTTAAAAGAGTAGAATGTGCTTTTACTGTGAGCTACAAAAAGCTATTTCTGGTTGGGAGGAAAGACTTTATGGCCTTTCCTCTTTGCAATATTACATCAATTACTTTTTAAGAATATACTGGATATAAGATAATTGAGAATTTGGCTAAGGTTATTGTGTATTGGGCCAAGTAACTGCACTTTCCTGTTGGGGTTGTTTATTGAGCAATGAAAAATCAGTATTCATAAAATGTAGTTGTACTGGTGAATAGGAGCTAGTCAAATACCTCTGCGTACATTATGTACTAGCTAAGTGGAGAAATGGTCAGGATCCTAGAACTGATGGCTTCCCTGAGACGCTGATGTGTTTTGTACTCACCCAGTCTTGCCCCTTGTGATCACATACGACTAAAATGCAGGGCAGTGGGACATCAGAAGCCACGTCTCAGCATCAAGACTTCCCCTGTGCCTTTAATGTGCAGGCTTTTGTTACCCATCCTGTATAATTTCTTAAAGCTAACTAAATTTGTTATTGTGTAAAGCCTATTGTGTCTCATAAACTTAATCATCAGACTGAACCCAAGACTGTGCCACTGGCTGAGCAGGCTGAGTTTTGTCCTGGTGAAATGATGTCTACTTGAGACTTCCACAGTGCCATCTGCTCTTGGGGAGTAGGTATCAGAATGGTAGACATAAGTGTCAGGAGGAAGTAAGGTAAACATAGTGGAGAACATTTTGCTAATCTAACTCATTTTAGTTGTAGCAAACTTCTCTCTATCTCCTTATTGTCACTCATGCCCATCTTCCCCAAACTTTTACTTCCTCTTCACTAGAATATTCTCAAACTTCCTTTTTCCTTTGCTCTCAGTTCTAGCAAAACAACAGTTAAATGGAGATGAAAATGTTATGTTTTTACAATCCTGGAAAGTAAATAAATTTAGCAATTAAAGTCAACTAACTAAAAGAAAAACTACTCAAAAATGTTACTTATCTTTTTCACTCTGAAGTTGCCCGACAATACATTCATTAACAGATTGTAATTTCAATGATTTGGTTTATTTGATTGGCTACTTAAAGATTTTGGCCAATAAGGAGACACAAAACAGGGCAGCATATTGAGAGAATCTTTGGAATAGATTCCTTGAAAGGGAGAAAAGAGGATCACTTCAGCATTTACAAGGACACTAAAAGAAGGAGATAGTGGTGTTCAATTGGCAGGACTGTCTAAAGCCCTATGCTTACCTGCAGCATCTCATTAGTATTCTGGGTGCCCTGGTACCATCTTTATCCATTGACTTAAAAACACTTACAAGTAACCATCATTTAATGGATCCTGGACTGAATGTGTTTGATATGAGTGGAGAAACAGAGATAAATAAGAGAATACCTTCTGCACTCAAAGAACAGTGCATATTTGTAATGAAATATTCAGATGTATAAAATTGAAGTGTAAATCAACATATGAACAATGGGAGATGCTTAAAGAGGTTTATAAGAAATCCTAAAAGGGATTCTAATTCTACTTGGGGTATGGAAGAAAACTTGGAAGAGGCAATGACTTTGAATTCATTCCTAAAAAATGGAAGAAAATTCGTTATATCAAAATAAACTGAAAGAAGTCATTTAAAGAACAGAGAAAATCAAGATCACAGGTATGACATGAAATTACATGGATGGAAAGTTACCAAGTAATTTGATATGGCTAGACTATATGGGGAGATTGCTGGCAGAATGAGAAGATAGAAAGGTAAAGTGTAGTCAGTCTGAGAGGGCTTTACAATGTCTACAAAAGAGCCCAGACATTATATTTTAGGAACCTAATCTCATAAACAACTTCAATTTTGGATAAGGAATCTATGAATATGTATTAAGCACAATTAAAACAGGGATAGAAAATGTATCATAGTAACAAATATGACACAGGCGTTCTAGTAATATGAATTTAATGAAGACCTTATTTCTAGTAAATGTCGAGGAAAAAGTAGCATATCCTAGTAAAATAATAATTATTATTATCATTATGACAACAATGATGATGATGATGACAAAGATTCCCTGCTTGACTAAACTTTAGTCAGGCTTCTGAACCTTCACCTTGGCTTATCTTTGCACTCCCCTGTAAAATCCAGTTTCAGCAAAGAAGGCTGTCAGTTTTGCAAGAACCCTTTACCCTTGGTACCTGATCATCCTCAGTATTCTCTACCATTCCCCGGGGGTTGTCTGATAACCCTGGCCCATCTTCAGCAAGAATCCTGTGAGGTTGGTTTAGCCAGAATCCCACTTACCCCTGACGTTTCCTCTTAATTTTCCATCTACTGACTCCTACCCTGCTCCTTGGCTATAAATTCCTACTTCCCCTGTGCTGTATTTGGAGTTGAGCCCAATCTCTCTCCACCCGACCTCCTGTAATACTCCATTGCAGTGGTACCCGTGCCTATTGCAGTGATCCTGAATAAAGTCTTCCTTACCATGCTTTAACAAGTCATAATTTTTCTTTAGTAATGATACAGAATGAGAAAATTCAGTGATATTGCCATTTTTCTCAAAAAAGAAAAAATATTTAAAGCAACATGTCCCTACCTTAATGTCAAATGGTCCTTCTTGGTTTGGATGGTTATAAATTTCCAACTGATTCCTAATAGGAGACAGCCACAGGAGCAGATGATTTAACTGCTCTTCAAGGTCTTCAAGCTTTTTTTCAAGCTGCCCAAGGTCTTTTATTTGAGCTTCAATTTCTCCTTGTTTCTCAGGTAAAGCTCTGGAAACCTGAAAGGAAAATACATTTTAAAAAGGTAAATAATTCTCAAGGCGTAAGCCAAAATGTTTAAAAATATATTTTCAAAAGTTATTTATCATGAAATGTTGCAGAATCTGACTGATTTTTGTTATTTTAGCAGTATAATATTGACTATTTACATATATGACATGTTGGTATTTAACCAATGTATTAGAAATTATTCATTAACACGCTACAAAAATTCTTTGCTTTAAAGAAACTAATGCCGTTTTGGAATTGCAAAACACACACCTTACACAAATGCAAAGCCAACTGCAACTGATAAAGTAAAGAAGTACGTATTTCATTTATTCACTCAGTTACTAAATATACTGGTCTGTTGTGTATTATATGCCAGACACACTTCCTTTGTAGTTATAAAAATGAATAAGCCAAGTTATTCAGCATTAGTACCAGATATATAACACAGGTCTTCTAAATCCCAAATGAGTGATTTTTATTCAGTGCGCATCCTAAAATTAAAACCAAACCAACTATAATTTTGTTTGTATAGCAATCATTTCTTCTACTATACTTGCTTCTAGCTTTCTTTTATGTTATGGAAGACTGTAAAAGGAAGTCCTTTTATGTACAAGGAAAATTGGTAAGTTATATGTTTTTGTGAGCTATAGTTTGTGAGTCCTAGTAAACAGAAGCAGGTGCTTGAGATGGGAAGTAAAAAGAACATTTGGATTAGAGTAGACTATAACAGAAAGATTATAGGTTATTTTTATTAAGAGATCAGTGTATGCCAAGCATCGTCCTTGGAAGTTTCACTTTTGTAGACTTCCTTAATGCATCCAACAATGCTATGATATAGATATTATTATGATCCCACTACCACACATGGATGATGATGTTGGGGCTGAAAAATCATTAAATAGGTTAGGAAGCAGTATGACATGGTATTAAACATTGTGAGGTCTAGAGTTAGGCCACTTGGATTTCAATTCTTGTTCTAGTTCTTGCCTAACATTTTAGCCCAGTTTTCTCTAACTCTCAATGCCTCCTGTATAGACTGGGCACAATGATAACATCTACTTCATAGGATTACTGTTAGGACTCAATAAAGTCATCCCTGAACATACCTTAGAGCAATACTCTGCATGATAGTGAATGACAATAAAGTTATTAAATAGTAGTGATTATTGCTCAAGCTTACAAGTAAATAAAGACCCAGGATAGGCTGGGCACTGTAGCTCATGCCTGTAACACCAGCACTTTGGGAGGCTGAGACAGAATAATTGCTTGAGCCCAGGAGTTTGAGATGAGCCTGGGCATCATAGCAACAACCCCATCTCTACAAAAAAAAAAAAAAAAAAAAAAAGGGCCAGAATAAACAAGAGTGAAGCTATTTTCTTCAGAATGTCAAGAGTTAAAACTGACAACCCAGAATAAAGAATTTAAACTTGTAATGATAGCTCTTTATGAGACTATTAATAATACCATTGTAATACAAAATATTATACTGCAATATGAATAAAATTTTATAATATACATCTGTTCCATAATAATATAATATTACAAATAATAATAGAGAAGATTTTAAAAATAAACTAGATAATATACTAGTGTGTCACATAAACAATGTCACATGCTTTGGAACAATTGTTTTAGATACTTTTTAAATAAGTACATTCTTTAATTGGACACAAGAGTTAGGAGATGAAAAAGAAAAAGTTGTGGAGAAAAAAATCAATGTATAGAAAAATGAATTTTAAACAAGATTGTATATGTAAACAATATGTACATTGAAACACTTTGTAAATGCATGCATATATGTTGTGAAAAATTCATGAGAATGTATAAGTAAAGGATTAACATCCAGCCTGGACTGTTGCAGGTCAGTCTGGGACTGACCCTAGGCTCCCACAGCACTGTTTCCTTGGAAACAGTAACTTTAAGATGAATGGGAGATGCTGGGCCTGCCTTTGTTGTGTGGAACTGCACCTCATTGCGGGAGCTGTCAGTTGGAATACAGTCCTTGGATCCACGTGACTACAATGGTGTAAAAGATTGATGGGAAATACAGGTGGTGGCTCCTGTTGAAGGTAACCTGCACACATCTTGTCTCTCATTCCTGGCAGCCTTTCCCTGTGTGGGTGAGAGCTGGGCAAAAGAAGCACCGTGTTTCAGGTAGCACAGAATGTCCATGAATCATGAATTGAGATATTGTTCTCTTTGCTCGATTTGTGTTTTGTGAGTTCACATCCATAACTACACCCGTGGTGCTGAACTTTCCTGTGTGTGTGTGAGATTTAGGTGATGTTACAAATATAATCCTACGTCTGTAACACATGATCTAATAATGTCCTCAACTTATTTTTCAAGAATTTTAAAGGAGGTAACTAAACATTTTATTTTTATTGGATCATTTTCTACTCACAAGTAGATGTAAAAAGCGTTTTACAGCTTCAACTAACAACTTCTAAAAGCCTCTAGACTCTGAAGCTACTGAGATAATAGCCATCATATTTTCCCAAACTCTCTAAAACTGAGCGATGAACTCCTTTTTATCTATCATGAAATTGTTCACGTTTCATTTAGGCTTCATATATAAGCACAGAAATCTGTGTAACATTTAACTCAGATTGCTGGTTTCCTTATCATCCTCCCATACTATCCCTTCCTTGTAATAGAGGTAAAACAATTCCTGACAAAACAAAAACAAAAACAAAAACAGAAACAAAAAAACCAGTGTAATGGGTCAGATTTGACTAATATCTGGAATACTGAAATGATAGCTTATCATGAGAAGAAATTTTCAGCTTAATTATGACGTTGCTTTAGGTTTATCCTCTCAGACCTTGTCTTTCCCATCATCATAACATTTACCTCATGCTATTTAACTTTTTATTTACATCGATCCTTCTCACTGACCTTTGATTTCTGAGTCAAACAAGCTCTGTTCCTAAATATGATAGACCTTCAACAAAAGTTTGTTAAAAGCAATTTCCAAATTCAGGATTATTATTTTTTCAATGTAAGAAGCAGTATATGTCTATAGTAGTCAACCACACAAAAAAAGTAAATTGTATCCTCAAGTTAAACAACTTTAATTAACAGACAAAAATATCACTAAACTGGACTATATAAAAAATCAAAAGCTTCTGCATGACCAAAAAAGCCATAAGCAGAATCAAAAACAAATGAACAATTATGAAAAATAAATGTTTGTGACTCATATCTAAGTTAAGGGACTAATTTTCTGAACACATAAAAGAGCTTCTGCAAGTTAATACGAAAAAGGCCAACAATTCAAAAGAAAATTGGACAAAAGATAAGGACAGTTCACAGAAAAGAAAATACAAAGGATTTTAAATGCATGAACAGAAGCTTAGCCTTGGTAATAATGAGAGAAATGAAAATTAGAGCTTCATCTATTGCACTGGCAAAAATTCAAGTCTGCAAATACACTATGCTGCCAAGGCTGTGGGAAAATGCAGACTCTTCTACACGGCTGATGGGAAGCATACATTTGTGTACCTCTTGTGGAAGGTAGTTTGGCCATATCTATGAAAAGCATGTAACCTTTGACCTGGAAATTTTATTCCCAGGATTTTGTAGATTTGTTTCTAGAATTAAGGTCAGTGCTTGGTGAGGGTAGAGCAGATGATGGGTAGGCTGAGATATTTTTAACTGTACCTTTTATATTTTGAACAGTGTAAATGCATTACTGTATTAGTCTGCTCTCATACTACAAATAAAGACATATCTGAGACTGGGTGATTTATAAAGGAAAGAGGTTTAATGGATTCATAGTTCTATATGGTAGGGGAGGCCTCACAATCATGACAGAAGGCAAAGGAGAAGCAAAAACACATTTTACATGGCAGCAGGGAAGAGAGATTGCTCAGGGGAACTCCCATTTATAAAACTATCAGATCTTGTGAAACTTATTGATTATCAGGAGAACAGTATGGGGGATCCTTATCCATGATTCAATTATCTCCACCTGGCCCCACCCTTGACATGTAGGAATTATTACAATTCAAGGTGAAATGGGGGTGGGGGGGGATACAGCCAAACCATGTCAATTACTTTTGTAAAACATTATTTAATAAGGAAAACTACTGTACTAGCTCATCTTCCTACCACAAAATGTTGTTGAGAAATTACACTTTGCATATTTTAATAATGAATCATTATTATTCTGGTATAACATATCTAACGCCATCAGTGAAAAATGCTCTGAATAGTTTTCTTTGGCAATATCTCTTAATGGTTGGGTGGAAATCAAGTACTTTTAACACATAATCTTTTGTGCTCTTCTCCACTTTAAAACAGTTTCTAGGAATTGAGAGTATTCCAAACAGTTCATGGAAAAATATAACAGGTATAAGTAATGTATAACGTGGAAAAAGAGTAAGGTTTGTATCAGATTCTATGTGTTTTAAATTAATTTACTTTTATATTTACTATTTTGCATTCACATCTAAGTATAGACACAAACACCTGACCAGTAAAATACATCATTTCTCTAATAATCCTTTTAAGTATTATAAAACCATGCTCTTCATACAACATTTCCCTGTGGTGAAAGAAAACAATTAAACACGTTCAATTCCCTTACGGGTTAATTTAGTATCTAAGCAAATCTTGACCTAATTTCACACAATATTACTTTCCTTATTCTTTCAATTTCTGAATGTTAATTTCAAATGTATAGAAGTTTTAATATCAAGATAAACAAAAGTGTCTGTTTTAGAAATAAACATATTAAGATGGATTTCATAACACAAAAAATATTTAGAAAAATTAAAGTGTTAAGCATAAAAATAGGAAGAAGAACTGGAATAAAATATTGGTGTGGGGAAGCCCTTTAGAAGAAAAAAAGAATTTAAAAAGGATTGAATATAGTATGTATATTGTTCATCTATAAATTAAAGCCAATAATCAAAATGTAAACAAATGACAACTGGAAATATTTGCAGCATATATTAGACACAGAGTAATAATTTTAGTATATAAAAAATATTTTAATGAATAA